ATGACTGGTGGTTGATTCCTTTGCGATGCAAAGGCTGCATCCAAATCTCTTGTCTACAGCTACATGTAGGTCTAGGTCTTCGCTCCATTGGAAATGCGAGGAGACGCGTAGACAATAGACCTAGCTGTAGCTCTGGAAGCCCGTTTCGGACACGGCCAAACGCTGCCAGTTGAACCTGCTGGATTATCAGTACTACACAATGATGACTGCACGCTTTCTTTCTTTCAACACGGTACAATAAAAGCTTTGACTGCCAGTGGAAGTCAACTGGTCTAACATGTACATGTATTCACCCATGTTGGGATGTCTTGCCGATTTGGAATGAGGTCATGGACAGGTTGGCATGAATCATACATATATGTACACACTCTACTGCACAATGTACTCCCTGACCTCCTGGAAACCAATGCAAACATGGTGAACTGAAATATTTTAACGTTCATACATGTACAGGTATAATAAATTTCTTGGAGCGCACACTCAAGTTTAAAGGGTGACTGCACTCAACGTTTCCGATCAAAAACCTGTAAAATGCATCTTTGTGCCTCAGTAACCTTATTTTCAACCACAGTTTGACCATTTTAAAGGGTATTTCGATGCCTTTTTGGTTTTTATGCTAATGAGTATATCAATATTCATGAGCAAAACTGTGATGTCATCCCAGGAAGAAGCCTCAATGTTATACATGGTTTGTACACAACAAAAGTCCTGTGTCTTTGTAGATTTTCCTGAGCTATGTTTTCTCTTCTTTGCTGATACATTGTTGTTTATGTGCATCTATCAATAAGAATTTACATGTAGGAACCATCAATCCCTCTCTCAGAATTGCTCTCAGTTAGTAAATTCTGGCTTCATAATTTGAACAGAAATACCTATGCACTGGGCCATGACTTCCCTAGATGATTTCACAGCAACAGTGCCCTCAGTTGTCTGGGAAAACGTGGATAATTTTGACTGTTTAAAAGTGTGCACTTTTCAAAACATTTAACCAAACATACGTACATGTAGGAGTGTACTACCTAAGAGTTTTCATACATTGAAGAAAAGAACCGGTACAAATAAGCAGAAAAACTGGGTCGAAGAAAAATGCATTGCGGCTACACTTTAAGACGTGGATGTGAATCTATGAAAAGCTATGTTTTTGAACAAAATTTGACATGCAGGCCTACAGTGTACAATATGTAGAATATTGTACTACAGGCATGTACATACATGTACATGTACATGTATATACCATACATGTAGATATGACACATTAATTAATTAAGCCCTTTTATTCACAGGGTTCTCTTCACCAATGGTTCTCTGTGACAATGAAGACCTACATGTACATGAAGCGGAAGTCTTAATACAATGTACATGTAGGAGCTTTCGATGTCTGTATACTCCCAGTGTGTGGGTGACGCCCTTCTGTGTTCCTACTGGTTTTGTACAAACACTGTCTGGCAGGTCTGCCGGGGTTGATGAAGTGTCAAGTGTGGTATCCTGACTCGGCCACAGCACATGGACTTCCCTGGCAAATATTGCTCCATGCCAAAAACTTTCCAAACAATTAAACGGTGCTATATAAATAAATATGACACATTTATTTGAAAAAGATACTCACTATGAGAATAATTTGTACTTTTAAAACTGTATTCATGTTATATTCAACCTATATAAAGGGTCAATAGGAAAATCACTCTGGGTTGACCCAAAGCACCCTGAATGGGGAAGGGGTAGTTTTATTGTAATATCCTGCCCGGTAAGGTGACATCAGGGTTTTACAACCTGGCTAAAAATAAACCTTTGGCAGAGTCTACTCCAGTCATTTGCAAAAGTTTAGGACCACCCATGCAGAATGCATTAACCTGAAGAAAACCAAACTTAAAACCAATCAATCATGGCAACTTATGTTTATTTTCAATGCGTAACCTTAGCTACATGTACTTGTATTTGACTTCATTTCCATGATCTGAAATGTTAACAGTCTAATATTTAGTGTGCCTTTCTTTAATTTCTGATTACTTGGACTGGCTTTTTTACCTATATGCTGCTTTACAGAAAAAATGTCATACAACTTTACAAGACCTGCCTTTGCAACAAATTTCATTCAATGGGCACAGTACATGTACATGTATGTAACACTGCACTGATGTTATGCACCACTGTAAAAACATGTTTTAAGTAATCATTCAATGAGACAATGTCATGCAGGCCCAGTGACAGAAATACCAATAAAATTCCAGGTGGTCTTAAACGTTTGCAAATGACTGTACTCGTATACTGGTACCTGTCTATAAAGGCAAAAATGTGTATGTCGATAGTGTACATCAGTCATTGCAAATTGGTTCTTGGACAACCGTACCGGGTCTAGTGCCTGTTCTTTCTCTGAAAACTCCTCCAAAGCTATGAGTCACAAATAAAGCAGCATACATTTTATTAAATGAAAACAGAAAGCACCTGGGCATACTTAAAGGGGAACGGAGGGGGAGGGGGAAAAGAAAACTGATGATTTGGGGAAACGGGAAAATTCTTTCCACGCTCATCCCTTGATGATTTGAATCCATGATCTGGGGATCTAACACGAAGTCCCCTGGGGTACTATGATTAAAAACCTACCTATTTTTGGGGGGGAGGGGGAGGAGATTTAGAGCTCCATGTACATGTACATCACTTGACACCCTAAAGTTTCACGTACATGTCAGTCAGTTTCCCTATACATGTAGTTTGTTTCATAACTTACATTCAAACATCTGTATCCTTTCCGAGTGATCCCTGTTCACCATTTCCTATACGTACTGTATAGGTTGTATCGTGTTATTGGGACATGATCCCTGGCTACATGGTGTTTCAGGTTTAATGGTTTTTGGCTAGTCTCCCCTCCCCCCCCCGCAAAGATATTAACAAGTGGGAAGAGCCACCAACATAAGCTTATAAATGATAGGGCTGGATAGCTCAGTTGGTACATGTAGAGCACTGGTACGGTATTTTGGAGGTTGAAGGTTCAAACCCCGCTCCAGTCCATTTCTTTGTTCATCATCTTTGCAAGCACCTAGTCAGTTTAGTTTGATGCGTATTTTCCAAAGTTAACACTTCAATAGTTTCCCTTGTAAATTTGACATGTTAGGGTGCTATCAATTGACCCTATTCACGTGGAGGCCATTTTTGATCTTATTCCATAATCTGTTGTATATATTGCAACTTGTCGATTAGGATGTCACCAGACTGTTTTATACTTCCGTGCGTTCCAAGCCTCCCTTTCACTAATTTTCAGAATCTGGTGAGGTACATGTATAATTCTATGTGTTCAATCGTGATTTTGAAATTATTCATCAGAGTAGACAGGTGCAAAATGCAAATTGATCATGAAATTTCATGAAAATTCATGAAAAGGGAGAATTTTCTTTTGTTTTAAATGAGAAAAATTGCACTATGGAGGCTTGTTTCAAGCAGATTCAAATGGAAAGCACAGAAATCTTACATAGACTAAATAAGTAAACTATTCATTAAAAAATTTAGAAGGAATAGAAATGCTCAACAGGACAAGAAGTATTGATTGTCACTTAAATCTTGCTTAAAATCGTGGCTGGAGATACTCCTAGAGGTGAGAAGCTGTCATAGTGATTACAATAATTATAATTTAATCATCAACAATCTGCCAGTGGGTAAGACTGAATATTCGGATATTTGATCGAATTGTTCGAATTGACTCAGCCCTAGCAGATTTAATGTATTACCTCCTGAGTAGACTCTCCTATGAATGGATCTCACTCAAAGGACAAATGAAATCAGGATGGACTAGGCCAATAAATTTGTGCAATATTTGCGACTGCCCCACACAGCCCTGTAACGGAAAATAGGGAACCAGATCTGGTCGGTAATTGCCAGGCCTTGGCACTACGTCGGCATCAACGGCAGCAGAACGGTTTTAAAAGTGGGGGGGGGCAAGTGCCGGTCATTAGACTGAAAAGAATACACTTATGAAGTTGCAATGTACCTCCAACGGCTGGTAGGCCGATAAAGTGGGGGGGCAAAACTGTTATTTCAAAGATGGGAGGTAGGCTAGTGAATACATTGAAGTGCAGTGGGCGACTAAAGAGACACCCATCTGTTTGAAACTGTCGTTTATTGTTACTTTTAATGTTTTATAAGTGACAGGATGATTCTAAAGTAATGGTAAAAAACCTGGAAAAAGCCAGTCACTGTTTTGCTGAACAATGTCCAGTGAGCAAGTGAAAATCCTGCGGACTAGTGAAAAAAAAAGGCAACACTCTCTTTATTCCGCTGACCCTATTTTTTGAAAATTCAAAATGTTAAATTGTGAGAAAATGTGACTTTTATTACTGACAAACTAACCATGCAAATTTGAATCCACCACGTGGCATGTGTTAAAATAGACCCGTAAACAGGGCCCGATGAATACTCCTCCATACGACGGAGGAGTATTCATCGGGCCCTGTTTACGGGTCTAGTGTTAAAACACTCAAAGTTTGTCCTCAAAATTTCCCTCAAAACTCAAAACCCTACCCCTTTTGACAATATTAACCCTATCCTACAATTATTGAGCATGATGTCACAGTCATCTACCAACGTCAATTCAAAAGTTAAAATGTAACTCTCCCTTCTATTGTAGGAACAGGGTCCCAAATTTACAATCCCCACTAGATCTTGTCCAATTTTTTTATTTTTTTTTAGAAATTCAAAAGTGACAAGGATCCAAGCTACTCTATTCAACACAACTGCAGCATAATGGCTGACAAACATCTCTCTCACGCTCTGACAAGTCTATCCACACTGCCAGTGCCACAATAAAATGTCGGAAAATCAAATGAGTCACGACTTCCTAATTTTTTTTGTATGGTCACATTTGTACAAAACCCACTTAACACAGCCGAGTTGGTTGTCCCAACCACGCAGCTATTATACATGAAGAGAGAAGAGATCAATGAGATTGAAATTTTTTCCGATATTCTAAGAAGTAATATCAAAGAAAAACCTTTACTTAAAATTCTACGCACCTGTTGCAAGCGAGTCCTTTTGCCCTATGTCTACGGGACCGGTTTTAAATACGTCCGCCATGACGGGTAGGGTAATTATTGATTCGACATGTTCGAAGACACCAAATGGTATATCACTCAGTCCTCTCGGCTAATTCCGCTCGTCAACCACCAGATGCATCATAACCTCTCTTTGATGAGTTGGCCGGACTAAATGAGCTCTGTCGTGTTCGATAGTTTCCGTTTTCAATATAAATTTTCTGTAGATTTTTGAGCAGACGGGACGTTTACATTCCGCATTCCGACTCGACGTTCCAATTAAGTACGATGGCCGGCGTGCGACCTATGACACATCATTAATTCCAAAGTATATCCATGCACTCCTCGGCAGAACGAAATTCGTGCCAAAAAGTTTGTTCCGTCTTATTTTGTTTTTGTTCAATTGCTCTATCTTCTTTATATAACAATAAAAATAATGTGTGGCATAAAATAAAGCAAATAATAGAGTTGTTTGGGACTACTTAGATAATGTAAACGGTGGGGGCGCTATACAAGTACTCCGCCAAAAGTACCTGTTAATGTACAGATAACTTGCATAGTAATTATGATGGTCACTGCTGTATAATAAATTTTATCAATAAAAAATTTCAACCGTTAACTATTTTCTGTTGTTATCAGATGTAAGTCTCATTGGAATAATGATGGAAAAGCTATCGGTAGTCAATGGGCTGTTTCATACAAGTTCCTCCGTGAAAACTCTGTCAGAAAAATTCTTATCGTCTGCTATTCAGCCTCCAATAACTTAAGGTCAGCTGATGGTTCACCATCCATCCCTAAAATGATTATTTAAAACAAGATCTCCTCAAAATCTAATATTACTGTTTGCGGGCTCGAAAACAATCTCAACTGTGCCGGCCATTAATCGAAAGCAAAGGCGTATCAGCCACTCTAACAAGTGAAAGTACACCCGGGTGACTCAAAATACCACACAATGTGTGGGTTGGGGGCTATACATTCAGGCCTACCACGTGACATCTTTTGTAAGGGATGAGCAACCATGAATATGCATCGTTAGTTGCACCCAAGGCCTATTGCGGTATTTGTTAGCAGACAAAAATCTCTTTAAATGTCATATTTGGAATTTGCATAAATTTATATGCATTAGATAAGATGCGCCGTGGTTGTGTGACAAATGGCACTACGGCGCCTGTAACTGTGATGTCCCGCGTCATCTGGCTAATATGCAGTGGATATTCAGCTCAATTAAATTTTGTTTTCATGCATGCTACTATCTTACAATACAAACAACATCTAACAGATCAAGTACGTTTTTCATTGCAATTGAAAAGAAAGTTGTAGTGTTTAAATTCTTGGTAATGATGTTTTCATCAACGTGTGCACGCGGGCCGGGGCGATACACAGGCACTCTAAAATCACCCATCAATGATGTTTTGAAGAAATATTGGCCACTATGGGCTGTTTAACAATTAAAAAAACACTCAAGTACAATGTGGAACATTGTGCACAAGCTATGCAGGTACTTCTGTTCTGTCTTGAATGGAATCATGCTTTTGGCTTGTAAATATGGACATTTTCTTAAACATAAAATCCCAAAATGTTAAAATTTCTGGCTAACTGCTGCAGAAGGGGTGGAAAATCATCGTATCATGTAAATAAAGCTATGCTTCATGTATAAAATATCCTATTATATGGTTCTTATAATTTTCATATAAATCATTGCAAGATAGCTCCCAACGTCCAGCCTGGCCAGTTCACAAGGTGTCGCACGATTCATGTTATGCAAACCATTCATGGCAAATACGCCATGGGAAATTGAGCTTCTAAGTCAATCGAACAGCTGTCTCTCTGCGCTTGTCAGTTCTAAACTGAACGTGCTGGCAAATGTAAGAATTTGCCGGTGTAAGAACCGAATGATAGTCGACAGCCATTCTGAGCGGACTCCATTTTAAAGGATGCTGCCCAGACGCGTAGGACGAGAACAGTAGCCCTAAAATACGATCTTATTTCAAGAGCTTTTTGCACAGAGGGGGCATGATTACTGCATTGCCTTAGAGGAATATGTTTCTGCAACTGCGAGGGGAATTCGTAAGGGTTCAAAAGTCTAGTATTACAGGAAAGCAGGGCAAACGTGCATGAAATGTAAACTTTGAAAATTAATATTGTGAAGTCCCTCCGAAAAGTACTCGAAAAATAGTAAAGTCTCTGATTTTTTTTAATCCGTCAGAGTTCACTTTTAAGGAGTATATATATGTTGGCTCTACGCCTCCCTGCCGGTAAAATGGAGGTGCCAGAAGGTTGCGCGTGTTCGTTTCCCTGAGGGGCGGAGCCGCTGATCTGCGGAGCGCAACGGTGGCGGAACGATCTTCAAAGTGTTGGGGGGGGCAGTTGTGAGACTATGGCATCAGCCACCATTAGTAGACCGATCCATTAAGCCCCGCCTCTTTATCCGGTTCGTAAGTGACATCGTCATACACGCAGACGCACCACTGATCGCAAGCTCCCATTGGACGAACATTAAAGTTGCGCGTTAACTTCTGGTTCTATGGTTCCGGTTCCATGGCTGTTTTCCAATACTCAGCTTCGTCTCCGTCTCAGGTTCGTCTCCGTAACCAATCCCCGATTGTGGGCCTGAACCGTTTAAGTTAAATTGAAGTACTGTAATATTCACGTTTGATTCTTTTGCATCTTACTTGATGATGTTTTGTGGCACTATCAGACTTACTATAGCGCTTACAATTTCAAAGTCAGGTAGTAAAAAAAAAAAATTGAAGCCTGTGACTGAGTTGAAGTTTAGTACTGGAAAACGGCCCATGTAACTCCATGCTCTGTGGGCCGGGCGTGGTAAAACTGAACTGAACTGACGTCACACTTACGGACCAAATAGAACCTGCCAAAGGGGGCGGGGCCAGGGTGTCCTCCACTCTAACAAGCGGTGACCCTCCTGCCCCCCTCCCCTTCTGACGCTTGTGGCGGAGCCCCTCGCTCACGGATCAATGTATCAGAAAATTTTGAAACATTTGGATGGTTTAAGACATCAAATGTTCAGTCTGATGTTTAGTGCGTCTTTATGAAGAGTAAACATTAACATAATTATCATCCACTTGTACAATCCTTATTCCTTTTTTCAATGAAAAGCAGCTTGTGAATGGATTTAGACCTTCGTGGAATTTCTCCCTGAACGAAATTCCTTCCCTAGTTTTCATTTCAGTTTAATTTCACTTTATTTCCCTCCACAAACACAAAAATAGACGAATACGTGTAACATGTACAATGGACAGTAACAACAGGAAGTGGAGGGGTCTTGTAAAAAGCTACGCTTTTTACATCACCAGAATAATTCCATAATAATAAAACCCATAAAAATACAGATTTCTAAACATTAAACCCCCTTCAAGTGTTTAGCTCTTTTTCCAAATCTGAGCGTTATCTCCACAGTGGTTTCATCTCTATCAGAGGCCTTCTTTGCACACTTCTATAAATACTCTTCAAACCATTGAAAATGCTCCAAAACTTAATTATTTCTTCAGAAATTGCAATGCTGGGCTATCAAAAACAGAGAATTGCACTAACGGGACTAAAATTGGTGAAACGAGGAAGCCGATGTGATTGGGTAACCGTAATTTGAAAAACCTATTCAAGAACGAAGAATGACGGTGATCTGGTTCCTGGAAGTCAACAAATATGAGTTGCACGGTGTAGGTGGTGACCACACAGGATGTGCATTTAATACGTGAAACGCCATTTTGGAGGTACATTTAGTTGGTTTGCGGTTTACCATTCGGTTTCGTTTGACGTTGATGTGGAGTCCTCTCTGAAGAAGTTCAAACTAGAAACGTTACATCTGCACTCTCCAGGAGTAACCTGTTTTGTCGTCGAACAAAGTGAGGTAGGGGACGGTGTGTTAGTCATTGGAGCTCCGACATGACCGACGTGACACACAGGACAGCCGACACGGCTCATCAGTAAGTCAGTAGACAGTAAGGCATTCGAAGGACGGAAACAGCCTTGGGTAATCTGATCCCTAATCGACGCACACGACATCCGGAAATTCGTGAGTCGCGACTTGTCTGGCAAAAGTGGCATGTATGGGGTTATACTTAGATATACATAAAGTATATGTGTACTGTAACTGTAATAATGGCAATCTTTTCTTTCAGGGAACTCTACTTTTTTGTTTCAAGTTATTTAGGATTCTAGTTAGGCCCTAGCCAAGGCTTAAGCTACTTCCTGAACATTAACACTGACAGTAACGGCGACTAAGGCACTGCTCTGTAGGCTTTCTTAGGTTCATCTTTTTTGTGGTTCCGTACACTATGGCATTTTGGGAAGTGCCCTGCAATTGTACCAGAGAAAACTCCATTTGCACTTTCTGAAGCAAATCTTCCCTTAAAGACCCTATAATATAATAATAGCTAATGTATATGGAACTACCAGGCACGAATGTATTTTGTAGCATTTAACCTATATTATTTGCAAAAAATGAGGTTTTTTCTACCATCCTCACCTCTGGTCCCATGATGATCTTCACACATCTGCATTCTCTGTGGTCGTACGTCACGTGACATAAACAGGCGCAGGGTATTCATATAACGAATGTTGCTTTGGATACCAGTCCCTACAAATCCGAGGACTCTCATAAGATTATGTATAAAGAGGTCCAGGAAATCTGTGGTCGGGGAACCACACTAACCACATTTTGGCTCGACCATTTTGGAAGCAAGGGGTAGCAATGTCAGGGCGCGCGGTGTGAAATAGTGATTTGGAAGTGGCGGTACCATAAATTTGTGCCGGGAACAGGAGTCATTGATATTTGTGGGAGGAAGGGTATTTCAAAAGTGGAGGGTGAGGGGCTGACATGATCACAGAATGTGCACTCAGTTCAGAGTACAGGGAGTACATCTGTACATGAAATCGGTTGTATACTGCCATCATTTTTTGCCAATGATATACACGTGTAGGTTGAACGCTACAAAATACACTCGTGCCCGGTAGTTCCATATAGGTTAGCTATTATTATAGGGTCTTTAAGGGAAGATTTGCTTCAGAAAGCGCAAACGGAGGTTTTCTCTGGTACCATTGGAGGGCACTTCTCAAAATGCCATAGTGTATGGAACCATCAAAAAGACGGACCCAGGAAGGCCTATGGAGTAGTGCCTTACTGTTCAGGAAGTAGGTCTAGGCCTATTTCTTTTTGGATACGGTTCCATTAACGTTAATTCTAAGGCCTATGACTGTCTACACACACATGACAAATGGACATGATAAACTTCACTTAACACATGGGATATGGAGGTGTACAAATCCTTTGAAACTAGTCTGAAAAAATTGTTGTCTAAGTACATGTACATGCCTCGGAAAGAACCCTATGAATGGACAACACTAATATTTTCTTCAAATGTTATTGGCCTAAAAACCTTCAGAATGTGACAGCATGTCCTAAAAAGCGAAATTTAGCTAAGAAAATTCTGAAGCATTTAGGCCTACTTAAAAAATTATTTTCAGACAAGTCTCACAGGTTTGTGCATAGGGGCATCAAGTGTTGTCCGTATATGGAACACTTTCCAATGCCTCAATATTCTCACTACTAACTTTGACATTGTAGGACATGTTATCACTTTCTGATCGCTTACATGCCACTGCAGGGGAAAAAACACTAAGTAATGTCCGTGTGTGGAATTCATTTACCATTTTTTATTTCTAAGTTACATGTACATCTCTTACAACTTAAAAGTGGACGTTTCACTCAATCATATCAGTCAGACTCATATGCGTCAATCCAACATCTTGTCCCAAATTATTTGTTGTATTTGCAGTCTTGGTACTTTTTTCTTTCCCCTAAGGACTGCTCTTTCTGAGGACTGTGCCGAATAACCAAATATGCGATCAATTGTTGAATATTCAAATATTTTTCAAATTTGAATATCCAAATGTAGAATTCATGAAAAGGAACTGAAAATTTTCTTTTGTTTAAAATGAGAAAAATTGCACTATAGAAGCTTGTGTCTAGCAGATTCATATGAAAATCTTACAAGAAATAAGAAATCTTACAACGATTTAAAAAGTAAATTAATCCTTTAACAATTTAAAAGGAATTGAAATTTTCAACAAGGCAAGAGGTCTTGTTCATCTCTTCAATCTTGCTAAATCATGGCTGGAGATACTCCTAGATGTGAGAAGCTATTATATTGATCATAATGTACAACTGTGTGTTATTACAACTGATTTTGTATACGGTTTGTTCATCAACAATCAGCCAGTCGGTGCAACCGAATATTCGGATATTCGATCAAATTGAAGGTCAGATATTCGAATAGTGAATTATTCTAATTGACTCAGCCCTACTCTTTCTGCATCATGTACAATGTACATCAGAGTGAGGTAGTTGTATTGCCTACCAGGTACCAGTGTCTGATGTCGTCCTAGCAGACAGGACCCTATGAATCACCTTTTTTTTAAACATTTGGATATATACCGGTATATTGTTTACTGTCGCCCAACCATGTTCAAATTGTTTTTAAAAGGCAATTTGTTGGGTCCTATCACGTAACGTGGACCAATTCAGATGATATTATTAGAAAAGTGTCCATCATGATTATGGCTGGCCATCAGTTAAAAAACAAATTCTGTGAGGCCTGACAATTTGTTTTCAGTGTATATTTTTGTTGTTTCCAATAAAGTCTCAAACCCTTCATAAAAATTATATTGAAAATATGCTTCCCAAGAGTAAACCAGTTAATTATAAGCACAAGTAGTTAGAATCAATATCTTCTTAGTTGTTGTGAGCTGTGGTTTACACGTCCCTAATTAATTTGTCCATGATAGACGTCACCAAGTTTTTCCCTGCAGCAAGTAGACTTTTAGCCATGAGAAAGGGATAGCATGGCCCAGAGTAAAAGTCCAGTGAAGTGTTGGAAACTGTTGAAGGATTTTTCCTTTCTTACACAGTATTTTGGGCGCCACCATCAGTGAGTAGTACAGGGAGCAGAAGGTTGAAATCATACACTGGACAGCAAAAGAAACTTGCCACTTTTGTAAAAGGCCGCACATAAAAATTCACCCCGTAGAAATAAACAATTTTTGTACACAGGTATGCTGCAATA